GAAAATCCATATACAATCTAGAGGTCCATATACAAGTCTAGGGCTGTTTGCAAGCTCAAGAAAATCCTGAGAATGTCCCAAACTCTCATCTCTAGCTGACCTTGAGGCTCCCCATGAGCCAGATATAAAAGTTTTAAACTGCCTAAATGTTGAAAGCATTCCCCAGCATGCGTATAGAACCCCCTTTTAAAGACTGAGTTATAGGAATTTAAAGAAATCTCAACCTGTACACTCAGAAAAATGAGAAATTACATCCCATCTGATTCAAATGTATGATATGTCAAGGTCATTGTAGTGTCATGTGTAACTAGTTAAAACAAATTAAAAAAGAAATCTCTGTCCAAATGTTGGCTGACCCTTAGGCTGACAGAACAGATTTCTGTGAGTAAATATGAAAAAAACATATAGTCTTTACAAAAATAAATAAAGATTTTAAATGGCAACAAATTCTGAGGATGAAGAAAAACCTGGTTTCCTGGGTTGCCATATTACAATATTCAACAAAAAGTTTTGAGGCAGGCAAAGAAACAAATATGACCTATATTGATAGGGAAAACTGTAGTCATTAGAAACTGCTCCTGAGGAATCCCAGATGGTATACTTTCTCTCTCTCTCTTTAAAAAAGAGAGAGAGAGAGAGAGAGAGAGAGAGAGAGAGAGAGAGAGAGAGAGAGAGAATATGAATGAATGAATTTTAATATTTATTTTCTAGTTTTCGGCGGACACAACATCTTTGTTTGTATGTGGTGCTGAGAATCGAACCCAGGCCGCATGCATGCCAGGCGAGTGTGCTACCGCTTGAGCCACATCCCCAGCCCAACTTTCTAGATAAAGATTTTAAAATAATATTTGAAGGTTTGAAATATTTTCAAAGAGCCAAAGGAAACTATGTCTAAAGAATTAAAAGCAAATATGAGAATATCAATGAAAATATAGAAATTATATTAAAAAACAAGTAGAAATTCTGTAGTCAAAAAGTACAATAGCCAAAATAAAGAATTCACTAGAAGGGCCCAACAGATTTGAGTATGAAGAAGAAAGAATCAGAAAACTTGAAGATAGGTAAATTGAGATTATTTAGTTTGAGGAACAGAAAAAAAAGAATGAAGAAAAATGAACAGAGCCCCAGAGATCTGTATACTAACATCCAAATCATGGCTATCCAATAAGGAAGGGAGAGAGAAAATAACAGAAATAAATATGAAAAAATAATTTAAAAAATGTATGCATACAAGAAGCTCAAGAAACTCTAAGCCATATCAACTTAGACAACTAGTAATAGAGATAATTTTATTTCTTTCTTTCAAATCTGAATTCTTTTTGTTTTGATTTTCTTTTGGTGTGTGTTATATAGATATGAGGTGTCCCCCAAAAGCTCATATGTGAGACAATGCAAGAGGGTTTAAAGGTGAAACAATCAGGTTATGAGAGCCTTAACATAATCAGTGCATTAATCTGCTGATAACATCCAGGGATCAACTCGGTGTTATCTGTAGGCAGGTAGGATGGGATTGGAGGAGGTAGGTTGATGGGGGCATATTCCTGTGGTTTATATTTTGTCCGTGGTGAAGGAAGGTGTGTGTGTGTGTGTGTGTGTGTGTGTGTCCCTCCTTTCTGTTATGATTTCCTGAGCTGCTTTCCCTTGCCACACCCTTCTGCAATGATGTTCTGCCTCACCTTAGGCCCAAGGCAATGGACCTGGCCATCAGTGCACTGAGGTCTCTGAAACTGTGAGCCCCCAAATAAACTTTTCCTTCTCTAAAATTTTTCTTGTCAGGTTTTATGGTCACAGCAACAAAAAATCTGACTAAAACAGTGTATGACACTAGCTAATTCATCATTATAATGTTGAATATAACATAGGAATGAACATCTTTGCCTTATTCCTAGTTTTAAGGAGAAAGCATTCAGACTTTAAACCCTAGGTATGTTTTTTATCTAGAGGTTTGTTACAGTTCTAGTTTGTTGAGAGTTTTTATAATGAATGGGTATTGGATATTGTCATACTTTTTGTGAATTTATTAAATGATTATGTGATTTCTGTCCATTTTATTAATGTATTACATTATTTAATTTTCAGATAGTAAATCAACTTTGGGATAAAAATTTACATGGTTATGATGATTAATATTTTGGACATGTTTCTGGATTTTAAGTTTACTTAAATTTTGCTAAGGATTTTTTGCATCTCTACTCATGAAAGCTATTTGTAATATTCTTTTTATTTCATGTTTTTGATTGCTATTGGTATTAGGGCAATATTAACCTCATAAAATGAAATGGGAACTTTATTCTTCTTCCCTACTTTAAGGAAGAATTGTGTGAGATTTATTTATTTGAATTCACCATAGAAGCCATCTCAACCTGGGCTTTTTTTTTTTTTTTGGTGGGGGGGCGGTGTTAAATTACTAATTGAATTTCTTTGCTTCTTATAGTCTTTAAAAAATTCTTCTTTGAGGCAGTTTAGGTAATTTGTGTCTTTCTAGAAACTTGTGCATTCATCTAAATTATTGAATTTCCTGGCATAGAGTTACCTATAGTATTTTAACTTCTGTAAGACCCATAATGGTGTCTACATATTCGTTTTTGTTAATTTGTGTCCTCACCTTTTATTGGTCAATCTGGTGAAGTTGTTGTTGATTTTGTTGTTTCAAGGCCAATTTTGATATCATAAATCTTCTCTGTTTTTCTATTTCATTGGTCTCCAATGTGATCTTCTCTTACTTCTTCCTTTTTGCTCTGGGAGTTCTTTTTTTTTCTTTTAAGATATAAGCTTGGGTTATTCATGTGCGATCTTTCTTGTTAGGCATTTGAAGTTATAAAGAACCCTGAAAGCCCTGCTTTGTCTCTATGTCATAAAGTTTGGTATGTTTTAGTTTTGTTTTCCTTCAGCTCAAAGCATTTCCAATTTTTCTTGCAATTTCTTCTATGATTTCAATATGTTTGGATATAATTTGCTCCCCACTCAAGGTTTTATGTGTTGGAAGCTTGGTCCCCACTGTGGCAATGTTAAGGCAGTGGAACCTTTAAGAGGTGGGGCCTAGAGGGAGATGTTTAAGTCATTGAGAACATTGCTCTCAGAAGGAATTAAGTTAGTTATTGTGGGACCCTGAGTGAGTTCTTGCAAGAGGGTTGTTTTAAAAAGTCTTCCTAGCTGGGCATGATGGCACACCCCTCTAATCCTAGCAGTTTGGGAGGCTGAGGCAGGAGGATCACAAGTTTGAGGCCAGCCTCAGCAATTTAGTGAGACCCTGTCTCAAAATAAAAAATAAAAAGGGGCTGGGGATGTGGCTCAGTGGTTAATTGACCCTGGGTTCAATCCCTGGTGTGAAAAAAGAAAAGAATAAGCCTTCTTGTGTTCTGGCTTGTTATCTGGCAATATAATCTTTTCCTTTTCTACATTCTCCCTCCCTTGTGGTGTCATCAGCCATGATGTGCTACAGCTGAGGCAGAGGGTGGGCAGTGGCTTACCTGAGCCAGCATTATGCTTTTTGGCCTTTTAGCCACCAAAACTGAGTGCTAAATAAATTTCTTCTTTGTATAAAGCACCAAGCTTTAGGTACTTTGTTATAGTGATAAAAAATAGACTAATGCAGACCCTTTGGTTATTTAGAATCATATTGTTTAACTTCCAAGGATTTATTGAGTCCCCAAATATCTGTTTGTTGATTTATACCGTCAGTCCATTGTGGCTGGAAGACATATTTTGTATGATTTTAATCCTTTGAAGTTGAGTCTTATTTTATGGCCTAGGACATTGGCTATCTTCAAGAAAGTTCCATATGTACTTGAAAAGGATGTGTATTCTGCTGTTGTTGGGTGGGTGATTTGTAAATGTCAGGTAGACCAAGTTAGTAGATAATATTGTTCAATTATATATCTTTGCTGATTTTATGTCTAGAATGTTTTTTTTCAATCCATTCTTGAATAGAGCATAGAAGTCTACAACAATTATTGTTGAATTGTTTATTTCTTCATTTTTATCAGTTTCTGCTTCATATATTTTGGAACTTTACCATTAGGCATATGTATGCTTATAATTCTTAAATCTTCCCGATTAATTAATACTTTATAATTAGAAAATGTTTCTTTTTATAGTAAAATTTTGTCTTAAAGCATATTTTCTGCTTAGTAGTGACTCCATCTCTCATAATAACTATTTGCACAGCATTTTAAAAAAGTACTTTTACTTTTAATATATTGTCTGTGAATTTAAGTGTGTCTTTTTTTAAAAAAAATTTGGTACTGGGGATTGAACTCAGGGGCACTCAAAAACTGAGCCACATCTTCAACACTTTTAAAATATTTTATTTAGAGACAGAGTCTCATTGAGTTGCTTAGGGCCTCACTAAGTTGCTGAGGCTGGCTTTGAACTTGCGATCCTCCTGCCTCAGCCTCCTGAGCCACTGGAATTACAGGCATGCGACACCGTACCTGGCTTAAGTGTGTCTCTTGTAGATAGCATATAGCTGGGTCTTATTTTGTTTCCAGTACAACTGTGCCTTTTGAATTCAGTGTTTAATACTTTTACCCTTTATTTGAAAATTTTATTGAGATAATTGAACATGCATATACTGTCTTAATAAAACAGAGCAGTTCCTAGTACATTTTGCCTGAATATCCTCAATGATAATATTTTTCAAAATTGTAGTATATAATATTAAAAACTGGATATGGACCTTGATAAAATTTATAGCTCTTATTTAGATTTCCCATTTCATTTGTGATTGTGTGTATGTGTGTGTGCACTTCAGAATTGTAAGTTCTATATAATTTGACTACTGTGTAGATTGGTCAAGGTACTGAACAGTTCCAACACCGCAGGTACTCCTCATGTTGTTCTTTTATAACCATCCCCACTTTCCAGCCACCCCCACTCCTGCCCCATCCCTACCTATGGCAACTGCTAATCCAAATGCTCTTTGTAATTATTTTTCTTTTCAAAATATTATATACGTGGAATTATGTATTATGTAATAATTTGGAATTGTTTTTTTTCACTAAAAACTGGAATACTTCATGAATTTGCATATCATTCTTACAAGGATGATGCTAATCTCTGTATTATTGCCATTTTAGTGTATATGCTGATGAAGTGAACACATTTTTAATGTTGTTATTAATAGATTTGCATTGTCTTATTTTCTTTTGTTTTCTACTTATGTCATGTCCTTCTGTTCCTATATTCTTTCTTTACTGCTTTTTTGTTTTGAGCCTAAGTAATTTTTTCCTAGTGCACCATTTTAATTCCTTCTTTTTTTGTTTTTAATTATATTTTGAGGAATGATTTTCTTAGTGGTTCTTCTGGGGGAAATACAGTGCACATCTTAACTAAAAATAATCTATTTCAGATAATATTAACAATTCTAGTAAAAAATAGAAACTTTGTTTTTCTTTAAAATATAGTTCAATTCCCTCATCCTTTTATGATAATATTGTTTTTACATGCTACTACTTTGTATATTTCCAACAAAATAGCCTTAAAAATTTTAATGTATCTTTTAAAGCAGTTAAGAAAAAACTACATTCTGTCATATATATATTTAGTTGTAGATGGACACAAGACCCTTATTTTACTTATTTATGTGGTGCTGAGGATCGAACCCAGGGCCTCACATGTGCCAGGCAAGTGCTCTACCACTGAGCCACAACTCAGCTCCCTGCCTCTTTTATTTAAGTATGTAATCACCTTTACTCATGCTCTGTATTTTTTTTGTGTAGATTTGAATTATTGTCTACAGCTGTTAATCTATTGAGCTGTTCTCTCCATTTGTAGATGATCAATTGTTTTTCTACTTTCAAGATTTTTCTTTGTTTTTGCCTTGAAACACTTTCATTACAATGTGTCTTAGTGTGGATTTCTTTGGGTTTATTTTACTTGGAGTTCATTGAGCTTCTGGGGTTCATAAATTAATGTTTTTAATTTACATTAAATTTTGGGAAGTTTTTGGTCATTATTTTTTCTAATTTTATTTTCTACCTGATTATCTCCCTTTTCTCTGGTACATGCATGTTGGTAACACTGAATAGTGTCCCACAGGTCTTTCAGGCTCTGCTAATATTTCTTCATTTCTGTTATACAGATTAGACAATTTGTATTGATTTCTCTTTAAGTTTTCTGATTGTTTCTTTTGTTACTCAAATTTGTTGAGGCCCTCTGGTGAATTTTTTTTTTGTTTGTTTTTTTTTGGTGCCTGGGGATTGAACCCAGAGTCTTGCGCATGCAAGGCAAGCACTCTACCAACTGAGCTATATCCCCAGTCCCAATTTTTTATTTAAGTCTTGCTTTTATATCTCAAGAATTTAAAAAAAAATCCGTTGAAAATAATTTCTCTTGATATTCTGTATTTTTTGTATCATTTTTTTTCAATTTTTCTTTAATTCTTTAAAAATTTCTTTAATTTTTTTGTTAATCCGCTGGTTAGTCCATCACTTGGATTCTTTCAGTTTGTATTGTCTGATTTTTTTTCCTTATGTATGTGTCACACTTTTCTAATTTTGGTTATGATTTTTTTGATTGTCTCAACTTTTGGTTGAAAGCTGGACACTTTTGACACTATATTGAAACAATTTTGGAGTCTGATTCCCTTCTACCATGGGTTTGTTTCTATGTTTTTTTTTTTTTTCTTTTGCTGCTGTTGTTTGTATAGTAACTTTCTGGGATAAGTGAATGGTGCCTTTCTGGAATAAGTGAATGTTGTAGCCATTGATGTGTAGACAATTAACAAAGTAATTAAAATGATTTATAAATCTTGATCTTGTTTTTAAACTTGGTTTTCTGGAATCTTTCTGGGTTAGCGTGGCTTAGGGATCATCCAGAGAATTATCAGAGGTTGTGTTTTAACACTTAGAGACAATGTTAAAAATATTGGGGTACTGCAAGGAAGTCAAACTTATGTGCTCAAAAGTTAATAAGCAAGGCAAAATTTACTTCTGCAGAAGGGTGTGCTACTGAACAAATTCTGGCAAGCAAGCCCACACAAATTGGGTACAATCAGCATTTTATCCCCAGAGTGCAAGGTTCCTTCCTGGGTTCCTCCTTGGCTGAGTACCATAAACTTTACAGTCTACCTGAACAGAATGTCACCTAGGTTTTACTGTTTCCTATTGGGTTATTTAAAGAAATGTACCTTTTAGTTGTCCCCAACTTCCTTTGTTCTCCTGTGACAGGAAAGCCTTCTTGGGGTGCATGCACTCTGACACGTAGACAGCTCTTTCTTCTGGTCTGTTGGTTAGGTGGATCCCTTCCCCCACCATGTTTGTCAAGGGCTGTTCAGGTGCATGGGTTTTGGATTTGCCACATCCATAGGCCATGGTAGTATTGTGTGAGTTAACTGCTTGTAACTTTCCATTCTGCTCTATTTCCCCTCTGGCTGCCTTTCTTACATCCCAGTTTTACATTTAAGTTTAAATACTGTATTCTGAAAATGGACTACTACCAGACTATTTCTCACAGCCAATGAGAGTTTTATCCTATGCTAATGGATCTGCGTATGGTTTGGGAAATGGCTTTCTAAGTTTAGACCATTGATAAGATTTCTGCTGCCTTTATTTTCTGTGAAAAAAATCTCATATTTGTACAGGAGCAAGTAACTCATTAAGACCCTCCCAGTCTTTCCTGTGCATAACCACAGCCACACATAGCCTTCTAGACCCCTAGGGATGTGGGTGAGCTTACCAGCTTCAAGTGTCTTATCTGTATCCCCAGATCTTGTTGTCTTGCTGATATATGTGTGTGTGTGTGTGTGTGTGTGTGTGTGTGTGTACATATATCAGCATATATATGCATATATATTATGACACATTTGCTTTTCTGCTGGTATGACATTTGACTTAGCCCATATAGAAATCTCAAACTAGTTATGATTTTGGTCTTGTCTGATTGTTTGCCCCCAAAATTGCTATTGTTTTCAACAGTGCTCCTGGGTATGGTTTTTTTCATGCTCCATTCCAGATCACGTCAGTCCCTCCAGTGCTGGAGGAACTTAATGCCTGCCATGCCCTTGGTAGAATGACAGTGGCATGGAGCTGCTGGGAAGGGCCTAGAACAGCATCAGGCAAAAATATTGAACTCCCCCTGTTCTTGCAGATATTAAATCATTTTTCTTAAATATGCCTTTGGTCAATTTTCAGACTCTAGAATTTTTTTGGACAGTTTTGTACAGTTTTATTGTTGCCTTTGGGGATTTTGGGATAAGCATTTGTTGAGCTCCTCACTTAGCTATTCCAGAAGTCCAGAAAGTTACCATACAATTAACTAAAACAAACAAACAAACAAAAAACCCCAGAAAATCCAAGGTAGAGGAGAATCAGCATTATTACAATACAGTTTAAAATGTCCAATTTTCAACCAAAAATTATGAGACATGCAAAAATCATAATTCAAAATAGAAAAGTGTGACTCATACATAAGAAAAAAAATAGTGGATGATAGAAGCTGTGTGAAAGAACGCATGGACTTCTGAGGCTTTGCTTGCCACAGACAACACTCTACTTAGGAGGCTTCTCAGAACACAGCAGTTTATATGCAGAGTTGTGCTGAAAGGGTAAAGTTTCTAAGCTGCAAAGCCTGAGTTAAAATGTAAAGGACTAGGTATTGCAAAGTTTCTGAACTGAACACAGAACCTGAAATTCCTGAGGCAGTTAGGACAATGCCCGGTACTGACCATTTAGTTGTTAAATAACCTGGACCCTGTGCAGTTTGGCACGTAGGCATTCAGGGCCCAAACCAATCAGTTTGAATGTAACCCCCTTCTTAGGACTGACCTATCACTCCCGCCCGACCTGTTCCCGCCAATGAATGTACTAATCATGTTTAAGAATTGTTGTTTGATTTTCCCGCGGTGTATGATGAATTGTTAAAGGGGACCATGACGTATGTAAAGTCCCTGCCCTCCCTAAAAAAGTGTACTTAAGCACTGCTCAACCCCTGCTCGGGGCTCTTGGCCATTCTCCCTTGTTGAGTGAGCCTGGAGCCCCAGCACGCTGGATTGGATCCTCAATAAATCCCCTTTTGCTGTTGCATGAGCCGGTCTCTTGGTGGTCTCTTCCTCAGACGTTCGCCGGACCCTTACAGTGCCTGTACTTCTTGGGCGAGGGAAGTTGGAACCTAGTTCCAAGGGTTATACTTTCTTAGTATCTCATCACCTTTCAAAAGGAGACAGAGCTTGAGCATCCTGGATCCAGTGAGAATGAGTAATCATGTCTCAGAAGCTTGCCATTCCACAAGGAGGTGAGTGTGAAGGCTGATGTGGCTGGTGGCTCCTTACACCCAATTGAGGAAGAGTCTTTAAGATAGAGACTTGAGAAGGAGAGTGTGGGGGTGCATTTTTCTTCAAAACTGTTAACTGTGTGAAATGAGAGGATGGAAAACCACTTGTGAAAAAACTTAGCGTTAAAAAAATTAAAGGATATTTTTCATCCTCTGCATATTTGCTTATCTATAAATACTTCAGTGTGTGTCCATGGCTCAGCTTAGTGGTCTCTCTGGACCTCTTTGTAATTACACCCATGAAGCTGGACATTCTTCATAGTCAGAAGGAATAGGAATGATGGTCCTGTAGTAGTGTAAAGGGTTGCTGTATATCTGTGTACTGTAGGGAACCACTCCCCTCATAAAGCTCCTTAAAGGTACCAGAGCTGCTACATATTCAACTCAGTTGAAGCCCTTTGATGTATACTTTCAATTAATCAGTGACTTTTGCACTGGATAAATGAAGTTATCTTCACTCTTAGTAGTCTTAATTCATAGGTTATAATGCCAATGAAGATTGTTTTCTGATGTTACTCCTATATTTATGCACTGTCTTTTGCTTATTTTGTTAATTACCTGTGCAATAATGTAATATCCAAATTGGTCTAAACAGTATCATTCTAAAGTTAAAGAAACAACATTTGAAAACAGTAATCCCCAGAAGTGTGTGTCTCATATGAATGAGGGCGAGCATTTAACCAATTACCATGTGGTAACTGCAAGCCTTTTGCAGAGCAATTGCCTAAGGGAGCAGCAACTTGCATAACCCCATTTTGAAAAAGTAGATCTGTTTTTATTTTATCTTTCTCAGTTTTAGCTGGTGTTTTAAAGAGATTTGATTTTGCAGCTT